AATTTAAAGAATTCTTATTAGAATAATCAGCATTCTAAAATGCAATCATTAACATATCTTATATAAAAAAACAGTGAGGTCTGAAATGCACTCAAAAAACAAGCTTTAAATTGCTAAAACTAAAAGTATGTAATGATAACCCAATCCAAAGGTCAAAAAGAGCATAATTAATTAAAACTGAAGAAAATAAATCAATGAATTAATAGGATTAAGAAAGCTTTGCCTTCTTTTCATCAAAAGCTAAAAAGCCAAAAATGTGATTTTTAAAAGACTAGTTTTACATGAATGGATTTTTTAATCCACTGAAAACCTAATTCAAGTTTTAGGACTCAAACAAAAAGTTCCTAACATTTTAATTTGCACTCATTGGAGGTTCAGTCAGACCAAGACAGCCTATTTAATTTGGCAGCCTCATTTTTAATAGATAGAGCCTCCTCTTTAGTTTGGCTTGGTTAATAAAATGGAGGAGTTGCAATGATTTTGGATGCAAAGTAATAATCAAGTGAATTCTATGTTCCATTGATTTTCATTGTCAAATTGTACATTTTCTTTTCCACATATCAAACATCACTCTCTGAAATGAACTCTGGAAGTTGGAAATTGAAAAAAGAGAGAATTAGATGCAGAACATCTCTTAGACCATCATACATCCACCACAATTGGCATCACTTCCCCTTAATCTCTTAGTTTGCTACTTCTGGTTGCTTCCTAGATGGAACAATTTTCTGTAATAAGAGCTAAACCCCTCAAAATACTTTCTATCTGCCACATGGTGTTCTAGAACCTTTACATCTATTCATGTTCATGATTACCCAGTGAAATGGGTACCACTGGAATTATCAATATCCATATTATTAAACTGAGGACCCATACAGATGAGGACATATAAGTAATCAGTGTCAGAATTTTGGTTTGAACCAGGTCATCTGACTCCAAAACCTTCATTTAAAAAAGTGTGTATGTCCTGTATTTTTATAAGCAAGACAAATACTGAAAATATTTGTAAAACAAACTTTCAGTTAATGAATGTCTAATTAGTTACTGATTAGAGCAGACACCAGTTTTGCTGTCCTCAAAGTTGGGAGGTAGACTCTTGCCAACCACTCCTGAAACCTTCCACATGCCTCCTACTCACCAATACCCCCAACACACAAATATACAAATGTAAACACTTGTATGTGACTTTTCTAGAATTGCGGCCTTGCTTTTCTTCTTAGTTTTAATAGTCAAATACACAGCTCTGAACACTAGTTGTCTAATGTTCAAAATCTTTTGAACATTAGTCGCTCCCAATCTGCAGGTTTTCCCCTTGTATTAGAGTTCTCCAGAGAAAGGGAACCAATAGACTATATAGAGAAATATATAGATGTTGATATATAATAGATTTATTATAGCATTAGGCTCACGAGGTAATGGAGGCCAGAAAGAAAGTGAAGTCGCTCAGTCGTGTCCAACTCTTTGCGACCCCGTGGACTGTAGCCTACCAGGCTCCTCCGTCCATGGAATTTTCCAGGCAAGAGTATTGGAGTGGGTTGCCATTTCCTTCTCCAGGGGATCTTCCTGACCCAGCGATCAAACCCGGGTCTCCCTCATTGCAGGAAGATGCTTTACCGTCTGAACCACCAGGGAAGCCTAATAGAGGCCAAGAAGTCTGATAATCTGCTGTCCTCACACTGGACAACCAGGGAAGCTGGTGTTATAATTCACTTGGAGCCTGAAAGTCTGAGAACCAGGAGGCTGCCGGTTGTAAAATTAGGTCCCTAAAGACCCAAGATCTAGGAGCTCCAGTGTCCAAGGGCAGGAAAAGATGGATCACCCAGCTCAAGAAGAGAGTAGGAAGTCTCCCTTCATCTGCCTTTTTGTGAAATTTGGGTCCTCAGTGGACTAGATGATGCCCTTCTCACCTTCACCCCCAGTGGTGAGAGCAGATCCTTGCTGCGTGGCTTGCGGTCAGTTCCCTGACCAGAGACTGAACCTGTACCCCCTGCAGTGGGAATGTGAGTCCTATCCACTGGACCACCAGGGGAGTCCCAGGGGTTGATTTTCTTTACTCAGTCTGCTGACTGAAATGTTCATCTCTTCCAGAAGCACCCTCCCAAACATACCCAGAAATGTTTTACCAGCTAGCTGGGCATCTCTTAAGCTAGTCAAGCTGACACATAAAATTTATCATCATACCTCTCCGTCATTTTCAAAGGGTTCATTTGTTGAACAAGCAGCGTTGTTTGTTCTCTGAAGTTTTCTATGGTCTGGCCTCTGCTTTTGTGATACAGTTTCATTTGTCCCGCCACCCTTTGTATTTGTTCCTGTCCTCTGTGTTATCCTGTATTTCCTCTAAGCTCTTCTTACCTGCCCTGCTCTCGTGGCACTCAGGTCCACTCTAGATGTGGATGACAGCTAACAGGGTTCAGTTGGAATCACTTGTTTGTCCAGTAGGAGCTATAAGCCCATGTGTCTTTGGCTTTGGGCATTGGTTCCTAAATGCCTATCCAAGGTCAAGTTCTAGGGTTCAGAGTAGACAGAGTCCTATGTGGGTTCAGGGTAAAATGAGAAAAAGAAGGACTACTTTTTTCTTAAAGTTAAATTTATATGGGTCCAGGGTAGAGTCCTATATGAGTTCAGGGTAGAATGAGAAAAAGAAGGACTACTTTTTTCTTAAAGTTAAATTTACCCTTTTAAAAAGAGTATTCCTTATTGTGAAATTTCAGCTGTCCTGTTTCACTATCATCATTTTCCCTTTATTTATATTTTTATTTGGATGAAATAAAAATCCAGTGTTGGCCTTCATTCTTTTTTATTATGCTGTTTACAAAGTTAAAAACTTTTGGAAATACTCCTTTAGTCTAACTGTCCTACCAACAATCAGTTTTCATTTTCATAAAAGAAATTATTGCTCTGAACCAATGCTGTTTGATAAAACTTTGAAAAAATTTCTCTCTAAAGTCTGTCTTAAGGAAAGGTATCTGTGATTTGTGTAAGCTTATGTGTGTGTGTGTGTGTGTGTGTGTGTGTGTGTGTAAGCTTTTGAATACAACTCAGATTCTATCACAAATGTAGTTCACCACTAAAGCTGCTAGTCCCCTTTATGAAAAAGAAAAAAAAGCACCATTCCTTTTTGATACAAGAAACTTAAAAGCCTATCTCATAGAGGGAAAGGTGGCTAGGTAATCCTCCTATGGATATTTCGGGACCTGTTCTTCAGTCAAGTTGCTGCCTTCACTCTGCTGCCTTGAAAGTCCATACCTTGCCTGTAATGCCATCAATTCTTAGTACAGAATCAGTTTTGTTTCTTGAGGGAGGTATTCTGAATTTCAGAAATTATTTTAAAAAGTAGCCACTTCTACCTATCCTTTGGAGAGCAAGGAGATCAAACCAGACAATCCTAAAGGAAATCAGTCCTGAATATTCACTGGAAGGACTGATGCTGAAACTGAAACTCCAATACTTTAGCCACCTGATGTGCAGAACTGACTCATTGGAAAAGACCCTGATGTGGGAAAGATTGAAGGCAGGAGGAGAAGGGGACAACAGAGGATGAGATGGTTGGATGACATCACTGATTCAATGGACTTAAGTTTGAGCAAGCTCTGGGAGTTGTTGATGGACAGGGAGGCCCGGCATGCTGCAGTCCATGGGGTCACAAAGAGTCGGACATGACTGAGCAACTGAACTAAACTGAACCTATCCTCTCAGCATACATATTAAAAGTGATCTGGGCGATTTTGTATTTGTGGAAGAATGGCAATTCAAGCTTAGCTTATTACATCTTCAGTTCTTGCAGACTGCGCTGTGCAGTCAGTCACAGCATACTGCTATTCATTGAGTGTCCATGGTCGCTGGCTGACACAGCATTGAATATAATGTGGCATTGTAGCTCCAGGTCTTTTTGCCCTCGTGGTAAATGACTCAACCCATCAGAAGAAATTTATAATGGACATGCAGCTCACCTATTTAGACGTCAGGAGATTGATTTGTTATGAAGTTACTGGTTGTAATGTCTTTGAGAGGGTAGACCTTCATTTCAAATTAAGACAGCCTCATCTAGGGATTTCAAAGCATATCTGTATACAGAAAGTCTGTATTAAGGAAATAGGATGAAGCCAGCTGTTAAAAATGAGAAACTGTGTGGAAGGGGTTGGGACTTTCTGTGTTCTACAGAGGCACCAGATTAGGAGCTTCAGAGTATATGGAAGGTTAATATTATTTGAAAGTTTACTCTGAATCTTGTGGAGAAATCAGCACTCTTATTTGGATAACATGACTTCAGCATTCCCAGGGTGTGTGCTCCCCATAACAACATCCGCTTCTTTCAAGCCCATTCCCTTTACTGTGGTCCCTGTAGGTACTCTATCATTATGTTCCTTAAAAAATATACATATATGTATATCTTTTAGACAACCAGGAATTTTTGTCAGCCTCCTTCCCCTCTACAACTTCCTACAATCCTTTCCACCACAAGACACTTGTAAAAACCTCATCCCATTCTCTTCTGGATCTCTGGGCCTGCCAACATTTCTTTCCTAGTCTGTCACATGACCACAAGCTAATCTGATGAACTGATTCTTACTCAGTTATCAATGAGCAGTGCCTGACCAGTAGGCAAGGCCAGCCTTCAACCACTCTGGTTCTAATTGTAACTTACTAGTCATCCTCCATAGGCAAGTCTGGTAACTGGAATTGAAAGTTTAGAATTTTCTGAGACGACAGTCTGATGACAGATGGGACCCTAGGAGCCCAGTGACTGAGACATGAGACCTTTGGTAGCAGAAGGAATCTGAAAGCCTCTAACTCATGGCAGTCTGAAATAGACATAGGCAAAGCCTTGTAAAGTCCCAGTGACATTTTTAAGAGATCTGCTGTAAATAATCTAGTATTACCAGTTCAGTCTGTTTTGTGTTTATCAGGAAAAAAATTTCTGCTGCTGCAAGGTATTAGAAATAATGGCATCTTAAGCAAAAGGCTTGAATTTTGCTGCCCGGCTTCTTCCCTTTGGAAATGGAATGGTTGAGAAGCAGGATGGGGCAATTGAGGGGGTTGAGGGGATAGCCGCTTTATGCAGTGGCTTTGTTTATTTTCTAACTGACCTGGCACAGCGTAGGCGGAGGCGATGCATGTTTCCTGACATTGGGCCAGTGATGTATGGCCTGACCTTCAAAATAAGGAACATCTTCTCTGTGGGTGAGAGGAGAGCCGTGCAAATGCTTTTATCCCATATTGCTCGGCAGTTTGCAACCAGTTCCGACAAAAAGTACCCACCCTGCTGAGTTTGCTGAAGCTTGTATATTGGTTTTAGTTGGAACATTTTGGCAAATTAAGGACTGAGTGAAACCATAAAATTGATTTTATTTACAACAAAGTCTTTTGGTGTCTGTCAGTTGCCCTCGCGTCTCTTTCCTTCCATCTTTGAGGTAATTTCTGTAGTTGATTTATCCAACTTTATAATGAATTTGCATCTGTCTCAGTTCAAGGATAATACCTCCCCTGGGTGTCCCTTTAATTGATACTGGGCATGGTCTGCCTTCTTCCTAGCCTTTGTTTCATGCAGGCCCAGTGGATGCCTTTCTTCCACCTCTCTCATTCAATATCGAGTCACTGACAAGTGCTTTGTGATGAACAGATTACATGTCTGTTATCTGCTCTGAACTGTTAAGGCTTCTGTTTAAATTCCATCCTCTAACATTTCAAAGAAAGGGTGATATAGCAACATGGTTTTGGGTTTGTTTGCTTTTTTTTGGTTTGTTTTAATTTATTTATTTTTAATTGAAGGATAATTGCTTTACAGTATTGTGTTGTTTTCTACCAAACATCAACATGAATCAGTCACAGGTATACATACGTCCCCTCCATCTTGAACCTCCCTCTTGACCCTCCCTCCCACCTCCCTCCCCGTCCCACCCCTCTAGGTTGTTACAGAGCCCCAGTTTGAATTTCCTGAGCCATACAGCAAATTCCCATTGGCTCTGTATTGTACATATGGTAATGTATGTTTCCATGGTACTTTCCCCATACAGCCCACCCTCTCGCTGCAAACCATGTCCATAGTCTGTTCTCTAGCAAACATGGTTTTTATAGTGTGATAGCCAATATATGTGATACCTTTAAAAATATTTGAATATGTTTTCTTTCTGAAAGCACTATTATCATATTTGGAGCAACTTTTAGGGCACAGAAGAGTGCAGTCACTTCTAAATAAGCAGGAATTGTGGGGAAAGGAATGGCCTGCATGTCAGAGATCTGGAGTCTAGTCCTAACTTTGCCAAGAACTTGTATATTTTACAGGAAGATGCCTAACTTATTTGTGACCATAGTTCTGTACATATGAAATGAAGAGTTTTTCCTGAACTGATGGTTCTCAACCCCAGTTGCAGATTAACATCATTGGGGTAGCTTTTTGAAATATACTAATAACCAGCCCCCATCACAGACTAATTAAAAAAGGAAACTCTTGAGGTGAGATTAGGCTACTGACAGGCTTCAAAAGCTCCCCTGGTTATTAGAATGTGCAGCCAGGGTTAAGAACCAGTGGATTACATGATTTCTAAAGCCCTTTACAGTCCTAAGATTATATGATTCTAATCTCTTCCCAAATCTTTTGTTATAGTTTTTTCTATTTCTGGAGCTAAAAGTGAAAGTATTAATTGAATTAGACAAACATGTTGAATCAGTACATATAGTCTCCACAGGAACAGGCAAAACCTACTGTGTCTTAAAAAGTATATTTTTATACTGTCATTCTTGAACTTGGTACATAAATTGGCTAATAGTACAGACTGCTAGTTCTCCCTCAACCCTGGTAATTCTGATCCAGTAGATACGACATGAATACCCAAACTCCACAGTCAGTAAGCACTGTGAGTGTCTTTCCTACATGAATCTATTGATCTTCTGTTTAGAAATACTGTCTTATATGTTATCATCATTTTCTAACTCTTTGCTGAATAATAAAGGTGCACAAGACATGCCTCCTTTGGTTTACTGTAAGATGGCTTGAGTTTCTTACTATTTGGTGCAAGAGTGCTGGTATGGATGGCACTGGAAGAAGCTGCTAAGATTGGGCATAGTACATTTTGAATGAATTTTGAATTTTCCTTAGAACAACAGGATTACAAGTTAGAATTGTAAGGGAGCCATCTAGTGGATAAGCATACAGACATGTGGCGTCTTGTCCAGAGCTCTTTGCCTTATGGGCTTTCTCAGAATATAGATTTAAATAAACATACAATTAAGTATAGATATATACATTAAATATATATATGTTTATATATTTCTATTATGTAAAAATATAAATATAAAAATCCATTAAATTTTAATGATTTTTTGCTTCAAAAATAATTTCTCATTACTTTATAAATAACATTCTATATTTTATGTAGTTTAACTCCTTGTATGAAACATGGATACAGAGATGAATAAGATATGATTTTTTAATGAAATAAAGTGTTCTAATTGTAAGGACATAAAACTAGGCAAGTAACTAAAGCATGGTTTTATAATTCCCACTAAATGTTCCTTGGAATTGACTGTAAGAGGAATTTTAGGACTTAAAAATAGTTTATGCCATTAGAGGATACAGACATAGTGTGAAGGATTCACAGTCTAAGATACATTGCCATTTTTTAATACTCTGAAGTTTTTAACAGTCCATAACACATGCATTGAGCTGATTTGGGCATTGCCAAAAAATATACATCATGCTACTTACCCAATTATTTATAGCCATTAGGTATTCATTCCTCAAACAAATATCCTCCTGGTTTTGTGCATGTTACTTTTATAATGCAGTCATGATAAGTTAAAACATTTGAGTGACAGTGTTTGTCTTTTACCCATAAGGAGAAAAACAAATTTATAGGAGAACAAGATACCCAAGACATTCATTTTTGGAAGCCTTTATATTAATTTCAGTGTATTTTCACAAGAAGCATTTTAAAAGTTTACCATTTTAAATTAAATTGAAAATATTCTATCACAGCTTACATTGGATCAAGTTCTTATGCTGGGTCATATCTCTCTCTCCTGTAGTCAGACTCCTGGGATCTCACTTATAGCTGACTCTGCGATTCAGGTAACTTCTAGGTTTCCTTTCCCCCTCCCCCCTTCAGGATGCAGGCTTCCAATGCCTTCTGGACATCCCTTCCTGATAGTCTTAAAGCACCTCGACATCTCCACATCAAATTAGGAAATTTTGGATGACAGCTCTTCAGTTGTACATTTCAATGAAAAGTTTCTAAAGTCAACAAGAAGAAAAGATTCCAGTCCTCTTTAATCCTCTTTCTTTCTAATCCTCTTCCCACTTTTCTCCTGTTATACTCTGCTAATAAAATCTATCTGGCGTCATTCATTTGGGATACACTGCAAAGTGGGGGCTGTGAGGTCAGATCCACTGCAAGGCAGGTAGCCTCTGAGAGGACCCCCCCCGCAAGGTTCCCACTCCCCCCTGGTGAACAGGTTCACTGTATAATCCTCTCCGTAGCATCAGAGAGGCTGTGACTATGATGGATGCACTGCTCCCCCGGCTCCATGACACTGAACAGGCAAAAGTGAAAGGGAACTTGCATACGTATTTGAGCTGGCAAATCAGTTAATTTTGAGCTAATCAAAATGGAGATGATTTTGAGTGGGCCTGACTTAATCAGTAGAAGAGCCTTCAAATAGGTACAGGGCCCTTTCCTGAGAGAAAAATTTTCTGCTAGAAACGAAGTTCTCCTTGATGAAATCAACAGCCAGGTTGTGAGAGGGCCACTAGGAATGAGCTTCAAGTGACCTCTAGAAGCTGGGAGAACTCCCAACAAGAGAACAGAGACCTACAACCACCATGAACCAAATGTGTTCCTTTAACCCGCTTGTCTACTCCTATGTCATTAAAATCTTCTAAACATTACTACAGCTTTTTATTGTTGCCAACAACCACACAAGCTTGGAAGAGGACCCAAGCTCCAGAAAAGAATGCATCCTAGCCATCATGTTGACAGACCCAGAGCAGGGCTCCCAGTTCAACCATGCCTGGACTTCTGAACCACAGAACTGTGTGATAATAAATTGTATGTTGTTGTAAGCCATGCAATGTTTGGTTCTTTGCTATGCAGCGATAAGTAACTAATAGATTACCTTGTGTTTTGGATCATTGGGGTAACCTTCAAACTAAGCTCTCTTATCTCATCTATATCCATCAATCCTATATACTTGCAGCCAGAGTCATCTTCAAAAATGGACTAAAATGTAAGCTCAATGAGGTAGTTTTGTTAAAACTGTATCTATAGAAGAAAACCAGAATATCATGTGAATCTTAGAAAAATACTTTATCTTAGAAGAACGCTAAGACATTGTATGCAGGTTACAGTTATTCACTGATGAGTGAATGAATGCATATCATCCATCCACCTTGACACACACACCCAAAGCATTGCTGGTCCTTCATTACATGCAGAGAGACATCTTTCTGATACAAGAAGGCTATGTATAAAGTGCTCAGGTGTACGGATTCTAGGGGTAAAATTCAAACTCTAACCCTTACTCTAATATGCCCCAGCTCTGATACTTCCTAGCTTTGTGACTTCTTGGAATTTGTATGACCACACTAAACCTCAGTTACCTCACTTATAAAACATGCTGTATGATAATTATTTCCACTGATGATGGTTTTAAAAGTTAACTAAGATAGTGCCTGGCCTATGCAATAGATCAGTAAGTGCTGGCTGTGGTTATAGCATCGAAGTCCTTGTACTGTCTACATTTTTCTCCTGTTGACTGGCCATCTGTGGAATGGGAGTAATTCTAACATATAGCACAAGAATTAGTCTTCACTCTATCTCTACACAAAGCAGTCACATTGAACTACAACTCAAATTGGCCAATGAGACCATCTACTATAAGGATGATACGATGGGTGCTTTTTCGTAACATGTTGAAGAACCACAGAAAACTTTCATTTTGTTAGAAGTATTTGTGTTGCTCTGAGTCCACGTGTTGTTTTTGTTTTCATCTGACCAGGCTTTCTTCTTCTGGTTGGCTGCTAACTGAAAAAATCCATACTTGCTTTAGTGGAAACCTGACTCTCTATCTCTCTAGTTCCCTTTTTTCCCTTACCAATTTCTCATGTATGTTTTCCTGTTGTATTTAGGTAATTTATCTTTAATTCATTCTTGAAAAAAGAAGTGAAAATAAATCTATAAATGTCT